CATAATAATAATAACATAATTATAATAATAACTCAATCCATGTATACAACGAAAATCATGGGTCGGTATCACGAGTGTTGACCACCTTTTCGAGTACATCGCACTGTAGGAGACGCTGGAGCTCCTCATCGGTGAGCGCCTGCATCTGCGGGAACAGCCGGCGCTCGACGTACTGAACGATCGACGACTGGTTACCCCCAACACCTCCACCGCCACCACTGCTGTCATCGTCGCCACTCATCCGGCAATCGCTGGTTGAGTGAAGCAATTGTTCCAGAATTGCGTCCCTTTTGGCAGACAATGAGCTCATCATCTCTTTGCTCGACATCTCGGCCGATGTCTGTCCCTTGAGTTTTGCCAACTTTTTCTCTGCAAATCATATAAGAAAACACCATTTCCTTCAATACGTGCCTTAATAATAGTAATCAATAAATTAGACACAAAAGCATAGATCCAAACAAAAATGCTGATCACAACACATACAATGAAAAAAAGTGTTAAGAGTTTGAAAAGTTTGCTCACAGTTTGCGATTCAAAATTAGAAATCTTAACAAAAAAAACTTTTATTTACCAAAACTGTTCACATAAAAGCATAAAACAGTTTGAAATCAAAAATTTTAACCCAAAATAGCAATTAATAGCTATGAATGGCTTGAAATCATCGCGTAATTGGTATTAAGAAAAATCATCACAAATCTAATGATCCATAACTTGGCTTTCAGTAAAATATAATTAAAATTACAAAATGTACTCTAATTTCAATACCAGGAATAAAAGAAATTTTTTTAAAAATTGAACAAAACAATTAATAATTTTATAAATAAATATTTAAACACAAATTAATTATCTATTTGTGAATAGTCTCTTTTATAACACAATAGGCAACCAATTGAATAGAGTTTTAAATGATTAAACAAAAAATATAAACCACGACTAAACCTCACCTAACATCTCATACGTCCAAACCTAACCTAACCTAACATTTAATAACATTCATATGCTTTAATATTTACAGTATATATTAAGTGTACCGATTTTCCCACTAATTATACAGTATTTTCTTAATTCTCAAAATTACAATTAAATAAATGAATATCATTTATATTGTGTATTGAAATGCAATTCATTTTTAGCGATAAATTGAAACTAATGCCAACAAAAGGCTTATAAAACATATTATAAAATATAACAATTATTTTTTGAGACCACAATTTTTGAGGACAACTATCAATACATTTGAATATTCATTGAATATTCAAATGGGAATCCATTTAATCGGCAATTATTTCGATGAATGAAATAAAAAAAACTATAAAATACGAATAAATATTCAGACAAATAGTAAAAATAAATTTCTATATACAGATGACACGGCTATCAATAAAACCTCAATATACTACTTAATACAATGATAAATAGTTTTCATTAAAAGTAAAATATTATAATATTTTAAACAAACGATTATTGCAAACATATATATACACACACAAAAATCTTCAACATAATATAAATAGCATTGAATTTATTACTATTGTACAGAAATTATATTATAATAAAACTCAACGTTTAAATATAGTTCAATATTTAGAGTTTTATATAAGTTATAATAAAAAACAAATTATTGGTTAACAAATCAAAAAAGTTATTCAAAAATTATCGATTCATACATATAATGAACAAAAGAATTATATGAAACTTATTTTTAGATGCAAATTCAAATATTCATACATTATTTAATGGCAAATAATAATAATATTAAAAAACTTTTTCTATAGATACACGGTTTGCAATATAAAAGTTATAAAACTTTTTTTTCACTATAAATCTCTCATAAATATTGCATTGAAATAAACGAAAGTTTTTTAACACCTTATTGTCAATCATAATCTCATTTTGAATGGCTTTTTATACACGATTTAAATGTTTATAAATAAAATGCATTCATTCATTGGGTTTTCAAAATATTTAATTTCTAATAATAGTTATCAATATAAGAGTCAAAAAGTGTTTTAATCGCAAACTATATATAATTCTCAAGCAATAAAATTGCGGTTTAAAACTGTCTGTTCATAAATTAATTAAACTTTATATTTAAATATTCAAATCAAATGTCAGGAAGTGATCACAAAAGTGATAGCATAGGCATTAGGCGTAGGTGTGGGCCGGGTATTAACGGCATAAGACTTAGTCTACTATCTATTCAAACGTCTAATATCTGGCTATAAAACTACTGGAAAACCATAACAATATCGTAATGAATTCAATACAAATAAAATCTAAATGAATAACTAATATAATATACAAAAAAAAGTCGGCAAAAAGTTCAACTCATGGAAAGCCGTTTTTTGGGTACAGACACGTATGGCAACTAAATTAACAAATAAAATAATATTTTAAAAACTTTTGAAAATCTAATTAATAAATGAGACACAGAAAAAACACAATGAAATATACAAAACGATGCGCTAATTAAATAAAAACAATTCAAAAATAACAAAAATAAAATATAACTGGCAATAAAAATACATAAATATTTTCAAAAATACCCCCAAAAATAAGCAGCAACAAAAATTCTATTAACCTTTTAATGGAAAATCGCGTGTTTTATATTAATTTGCACACAAATTTATGATTAAAATTAATTATCGCACAATAAAACAAAAACAAAAACACAAATGTCTCGAAATATCAATTAATTCAGTCATTCATTCATTAAGAGATATGGGATTCACATAACAAATGCATTAATAATAATGAACTGAATTCAAACACACCGTTCATACACTGGCCATTAAAACACTATAAAAAATATAATACAAAACAATATTTATATAAATGAATGCCAATTATAAGCGAAAAAACTAATCACAAAAATCCTTTTAAACAGTTCATTGAGTGTTAGAAAAGTAAAAACAAAAAAGTTTTGTAAGTTTAAAAATACAAATAAAATAAATAAAAACTAAAAACAGTTCCCAAACAGTAAAGGGGGTGTAAAATAAGGGGTCCTTTTGTTAGGGCACTGATTACAAGCCGTTAATCAATGGTTTCAGACACTTATCGGTGAATCAGTTATCATAATATTTATCATAAAAATTAGTTACTAATTGAATAATAGTGAGCACATCCCTGTCCACCAATCCATTAATCAATTAGTCGCCAATAATTAGGTCGACATCTCTCGGCCTGACATATAGGGACAGGTATGGGATGGGCTATGATATCGGTTATAAAGTCAGCCCTTATTTGATGAAATTGTTGTCAAAAAATCAATTAAAACTTAAAAAATACTGTCAAACAAAAAGCAATGTATTAATCAAACTATTAATTAGTCACTGATTTTGTGACAATGTTTTGCAACACAAAAATAATTAGTATTTTAAATAAAAACTAAAAACTTTTGATTCAAAGTATAAATAATGATAATAAACACAAAATCAATGATTAATTAAACACTAAATCAAACAAAATGAGCACAAAATCGGAAATATTTTGCATCAAGTGTTGGGTGAAGCCATTGAAATGAACGACACTTTCGGTGATAATAATTAACCACAAAATACCTAATGATTGGATGTATTGCTGAGAGTCTGGTAATGGTTTGCGAGGCATCTGGTCATCAATTGGCGACAATTGTGGTACAAAATTATCGTTAAATCGCATCTCAGTGTCACTCGAGTGGACACAATGGGCGTCACCGGTGGCGCTGAGCCACGGATCCGATGGCCGATCACCAGAACTCCAGCGATCGCCGCTCATGATCTTCATGGGTGACCACGTGGTGGCCAATCGCCGCCAGTAATCGCTTAAATGTAATCAATTTAAACACACAATTCAAACGTCAAGTGGTTTTTCACACGCAGTTTGTGTTTACATGCGATCTGTCAATACAAGCGAGAGTTTAGTTCACAAACACAGTGACACTCAAAGTATATTAATTTCGGTGAACACCCCCTTTCAGCTATATTTCCGATTGAAACTTTGCTTGATAATTGGTGGAAATCAATAAATAGCGACTAATTGTAATAATTTTTAATTTTTTTAGTGAGTTTATTAGATTTTAATTATCGAGATGTTTTCATATATTAATAAAAAAATATAAACATACTTCACAAAAATATAATCTAGTGTATAAGAGATTGAAGTTATAAATGAATTACAATTACTTAACAAATAGTTTTATAAAATTAAATATTAATCCAAGGGATTGATCACAATATTACTAAAGTTAGTCTAGTATATATCGGTAATCAATCGGTTAGATAAAGAGATCTTGATCGTTCAATTTTACGGATCTCGAGGGTAACCAGTTTGCGAGATATAGCCATTAGATGGTTGACCGCTGTTCGCTTAACTCTCAGATTGCCGTACAATCTAATGGACCGTATTTGAGGCAATAGTCTCAACGAAATCAATGTCTTATCAGTGATTTTCACGGGTTTCAGCGACAAGTGTTGCAGTTTGGGATGACTTCGTGCGATGGCAACGATAAGCCTATTATTGTCCACAGGATGTGACACCGCGTCCAGCGATAAGTGTATCAATCGTTTGCATCCATTCAACGATAGACTCTTCGAAAGCAATCCAAATTCGTGAAAATCTGCGCTAATTTCCAATCGCTTTATATGTGAAAAGTTTGTGTTAATTGTTTGAAAAAGCATTTCCAGGTTATGGTCACTAATGTGCCTTATATTCAGCGATAGGCTCTTAAGTTTGACTAAATTGATGCCAATTTGTTTCAATTGATTGCCGGACAACGCGTTGTCAAAGCAAGTGATCTTCAGATCAATTAATGAACGCATTTGTGACAAACCGGTCACTAGTGTAACGATGGACCTCTCATCGCAACTCTTATCGATATTCACGTCAATTGATTTGAAGCCTTTCGGCGAATATTTGTCGACAAATATATTGAAATCATTGGAATCTTGATTCGTGTAATGAAATGCGAATCCATTGAGTCTTTTGAATAATATCTCAAATGTGTCGCAAAACACTTGCCGTAGTGTTAGGTGTGGTCGGGAGGGGTGAGGCGTATGGCATAACTGTAGGCACAACTGCACCCGCCATCGGTGGTCAACATCCCACTTCTTATAATCATAGAGTTGACTCCATTTGTTTGACATCCATGGACTCAATTGTGTGTATGGCTTGTACGGAGACTCACTGACCACCTCATTGACCACAACCGGCGTTATTATGTCATATATGTAGTAGCCATCCCTGGTATCTATCATTTCATGATTGCCATCGAGTGGTATATTAACGGCATTTAACGGATTGAGGAAGCTTATGGTGATTATCTCACAGATGATAGGAATAAGTGAATGGTTATAATCTTTGACCTCAATACACGACAGATTTACACACTTATGAAGTATGCGCTCAATAATTGTCTCAAATATTGTCGAGTACCGAGGACTTTGAAACTTCTTGTGGTACTTCTGGAAGTGTTTGTCAATCGTGAGCTCAGTTTGCGGTTTAAATATGACTCGTTGCCACTGTTTGGACACACATTCACACCGGAATCGGTCCTCGAATGACAGGTAACTCAATAGGACTTCACACAAATCATCACCGAATCGGTCCAAAGAGTCTTTCGCGTAGACTTCTAACTCATCACTGGTTGACATAGTTTTGCAGTAATTCAATAATATTGAAATGTAAAGGAATTTCAATTGATTAGAATAATATTATCTAAGTAATCATAAAGTGAAATTCAAGTGAAATATAATCTGGTAGTAATGTTACAAGTCTGGTACTATTATATTAATATGTGTGGATTTAAGTTATTTACATTAAGATCATATCTCCTTTGATAATATAAATAAAACCTTTAGGAATTAATCTTGAAATACATGGTTGCAAACGCATCTTGCGACTACTCAAATATAATGTATGTATTTTCTATGAATAAGTTTTAACCCTTTAGTAGTAACTAATCTACATATAAGTGAAAATAGTTATTATGTGGTGTACATTATATTTGAGTAGTCGCAAGATGCGTTTGCAACCACGTATCTAATGAAGATTTTACAAAAGTATTATTCATATTATCTTGCCTCATATATCTCACCAGTGTACGTATTTATCTAATACCGGTATACCGTTACTTATTTAATAACAAATGAGTCATACATTTAATAAATAACGAAAATTTATTGTCAATTTCTATGTATAATATTAAATAACAAGTTAATAATACGGATATCAATATAATAATTTATGAAATAAAATCTCAATTAAAATTAATTTCGCTATAATTCAGACATAAATCTAATAACAAATAATTATATAAAATTTCAAATATAAGTTAATTATATCATAAAGTGGTTTCAAAAGTATACCCAAAAATTGTTGGAAGAATTGGTTTTTTGTACTAAACATACCGTGAGTTTAATTCAAATCAGTTAAAGTTAATGGGAATTAATACTGAGATTTAGTATGTTTTGTTCACAAATATGCATAAAAACTCGTATATCATTAGTATTGAGATTATTGAGACAATTAGTCAACTCTTTAGGAAATGTAAGAAAATTATTATTTGTTTCTTTCACTTATGGGACAAATTCGTAAAAATATATAACTTTCTGTTTACTGTTAATATGAGATAATCTCATTGAGATTCACAAAACTATTTATGTATTAAAT